TTTCGTTTTTTTGAAAGAACGCCGTAATTATAAGCTATAGAGATTGTACAAATAAAGAGATTAGAAAATTGATATAAAGATAGATATTCATTTAACATTGCCACAAGTGTTTTTGTATTATTTTACTTTATAAATATGGTTCTTTAGTATGTATTGAAAGAACAGAAACTAGCCAGGTTTCTAGGCGTCAGAATATCAGAATAATTATTTACTCTATTTTTACTTTAGCACCTTTACGCGGAACTAGTTGAGCTTATTTCGATTTCAATGCCAATTATCAAGTTTCAAATGTGTAAATTTAATGATGCAAAGCACATTTAGCTATGAAAAAAATAAGTTGATTTTTTCGCTAAAAATTTGCTGGGGTGTGAGTACTCGAAGAGGGTTAAAGCCGCGGAAAGCCATCATTTTTTTTTTTTAATTTTCTGTGAGTCGTCCAGCGGTCGACATTTCACTCGAACTTTTTCTGCTATTCTCACGAATATCGCGTCACCACATCTTTCGGACATAGCCACTGCTAAGCTGCGGTCTTATTGGTATTTTTGTGAATTGGTACGGCGGTGGGACTTGATTTGACATTTGATTTGAACCTTCTAATGTTCTAAACCATCAGATGTCGGATTTCATTATATGTCGCATCGTCTTCACTGCATCACAACGAACAAAAAAGAACACTTTTCACTTTGCAAAAGCTTGAGTAACTTAATTTTGTAGGAAGACGTCGTAGTTTACTGCGGTTTTCAGCGCTTGTGATAGAGAGTAAGTGAGTAATACCAAACAAATGTAAGCAATCTTTCACATACTAGCGTAGAAGTACATCAGAAACGCTGCTGCTACAAATATTCCTTTGGGATGTGTTTGCATATAATTTTCGTTGCTGCAATAACTTTCGCCCACAGTAAAAACTTCAAATATTTTTATAAAACGTTTCAACAAACCAAACATATGAAATTTAATACATGTTAAAGCCTGAAGCTGATCAATTTATGTCAGTACTCCTGGAAAGTGACTCCGTCGCTATATATCTCGCAAATGTATATGTCGCATAACCTGAACCCTAACCTGGTACACAACCTGAGTTCAGGTTGTGCGCCATCTTGGTGCGCATACTTCAGGAGGTCCCAAAAATGTTTATTGATAAAACATACATTTCATTCCTAATCTCATAGATATACTGAAACTGATTTAAGTACAATTTTAGATACATACGAAAATCTCAATTAACTAATTTCACATCATACGCAACAATGCTAGAATTTTATGCCCGAAGCTCATATCGTTTTCGGAATGACGTGAAACAATGAAATATAGGCCAAAATTACGAATACTTCATATTTTTCTATGCATACGTTGTTAGTCCACCCAGAGCCCCAATTATCAGATATATGTATATTGATTTTCGCTTGGTAGGTGGAACAAATAAAGAATCAATTCATGACGAAACACTCGGATGGTATTGAGTTTATTTGTTAATGCATTAATTAGGCCATGCGGAAATTGAATTATTATATTCGTTTTATTTTTGGAAAAAATATTATATTCATTAAAATATGTAAATCAAAGCATAACTTTTTATCAGATTTTTAAGGAAGCTCGTAAAAGCAAATAAGTTCTGCAACTAAAGAATCGTTGGTAGGAACTATTAAACACAGAATACTCCGTACCTTTGCTGTCAAATTTATCGGCAATTTTCGACTCCTTCCGATACGAAAAACACTAGCAACGCAGTATCTAACAATAGCGAGTTTAAATGTTGTTAAATAAACGTGTGTGACTAAAACTTAAAATAATTGTTACAAAAATTTGTATTGATTTATAGAAAAGTGCTCACTCTTTCACCATTTGAGTCAGGTAACAATGATGTAGACATAAAAAAAATGCTGCTAAAATTTTAGAAATGTTACAAAATTTTTTTTATGCACTTCCCAATTAGAAATTGCTGTTTGAGGCAATAGCTAAAATCACGTGAAGACTACAATTTTCAAAGCATAGTCCTTCACATAATATATGCGGAATTACCTGTTTTGGAAGTTGGACTAGCCTGGAAATAGAAATTTCGTTTTGTGTAATCGCATTCTAAAATATTAAAAGGTAACGCAACGTTGTGAAAAAACCTAATTGGAAGCTAGTGTAAAAATTCTGTATACTGACTGAAAGAAATTCACTCAATTGTTACTCAAAATCTCTGATTTATTGAGAATTAATATGAATACAAACAGTTGTATTTCTCGGCAGAGTTCAAATTATTCCCTGTTCATGTAACCCTCCTAATTTTTAAAGTGTATTTTATTAAGCAACTTACATTTTTCAAATTATTGGGGATGTTGTTGAAGCAAACTTGTTTGTGGCTTCTAATGTGATTTTCATTAGTCTGAGCTCATGAAATTTTTCGAAAAATACAAACCATAAAACGATTAGGGGATGGGCATAATTTTCAAAGTAAAACAAAATTTTGATATTCTAGCATATAAAAAATAGTTTGACAAAATATTCCGCTATTTTTTATTATAAATTTTGGTAATGCTTCTTCGCAAATAATTCAAAAATCATATATTCACGATCTAGAAACTATGTTTTAAAAAAGTCAATAATTTCAAATCTTCTTTCTGTAGCTCGGTATCTTTATCAATTTTCTCAAGCAATTTTTATTTAGTAATTTGTTATAATTTTTTCAATTTTTTTGCTAAGATTTCTGTCCCAGCAAAAAATCCAGTTACAGCTGTCAGTGCGTCTAGATACTTTTACGACTTATTGGTAAGTATTTCTCGTACATGTATTAACTCTGGTTCAAATCATCAAAACACATTTGTTTAATTCATTCATACTTGATAATATGGCGAATTCATCTATGGTTTTTGTAGGCCAATGTGTCTATTTACTTTTTTTCTATAGATATATCTTGTGAAAAATACCAATGACGGTTTAAATTAAGAAACGATTTACAAATAAAATAGAGTTATCTAATGCTACATATTAGAAATGTTAAATATCTAAGCAGAAATAAAATATAAAAAAGGTAAAAAAAAAGACTATTTTATAATCTATTTTTGACAAATCAATTTAAATAATATCTCCTCAATATCATTTTGCCCTGGTGCATAATGGGGATGATCAGCACCTGTCAAAACCGATTGATAAAATGGTTGAACTTTCTGTATCTTAGGTTATATCTAGCTACGTGTAAGGTCGCGTTCATTTTTAAAATAAAACATAGAACTATAATTTCAAAATATATAAATAGCGTGTGATGTAGATTTTATCGCTGCGTTTTATTCATTATAAACACTTCCAACATGAATGTATATATGTGCATAAATGTTTTGATATTTGATAGACAATAATTGTTTTTCTCATTTTGTACCGGATTCGATAAGCTTGTTTCACGTAATCACGATCTGTCATAAAGTGCGATAAAAATTATGAAAAACGACTCCTGTGGTATTTTGATTTTGTCTCGAACGCAATATGTTATCTCTTTAATTATTACAGATTAATTTCTATGTTTAACCCAAAGCTCTTATTTTTGGTTATTTTTAAGCAATGCATTAACTGATACTTTTTTACATCATGTTGGGATCACCTTATTTCAAATACAATTCGACCAAAGTGGTGAAAACCAGGAACTGAATGAAACTACATTATCATTTGCCATCATTTATCATTTTATGAAAGAGTTTTGTCAGATTAATTTTCCAATTGCTTGATATTTTTTTTCATAACACTTCACCATATTTTCTCCTACAAAGTCCTTTATATTACTTTCTCTTTTCTTGTCTCCATCCCACTCTTTTATATAAGCTTCTTATTTTTATGTAGTTTATGTTTTCAAATTACCTCCAGTGTTTAATTTTCTTTCCAGTGATATAATCTTGTTGCAAAATTTTAATTAGTCACAAACCCACTTTACACAAAAATAATATTAACACACTTCTCAATCACGTTTTTAAATTGATGGGTAAATATTTGTTTAGTATGTTTGTCTGACACTAGTTCTCGGTACGGTTTATTGATTTTTTGATCGGCATATAAAAATAGTCTAAATGTTTATACTTTTATAGAAATCTATTGTCTTATATTTTTGACACTCGTGCAACAAACTAATTTGTTATACCAAAAAATGCCTGGTTTTAAAAAACTCTACAACACCGGTTTTACTGAATTCTACATCTAATGCAATTAACTCATAAGTTTTATTTTTCAATATTTTTTACTTTTTCAACGACCGTTTGTCGAAACCTAATCCTTCCTATTGAACATAGAATAAGCATACCGGGTCATCATCTTTATTAATATATTATTTTTGAAAATGTTTGAAAAAACGTGCAAAATTAATAGAGGCTAAAGCAAATCAATCAAATAAAGAAAATATAACAAAATTACCATCAAAATTATATCATATTTGTTACAACTGTTTGCATCAAAAGTTAGTTATATTTTAAACCAACTCAGTTATAAACTTATAAACTATTATAAAAACAAAACATATACTATACACCTCTATTTGATAGTAATCGTATTGAGCCATTTTATTTCACTTGATGTATTATTACATGTATTCATTTTTCTAAATTTCTGTTTACTTATTCGTCGAAGAAAGAATTTTTTTACTTTTTTATTCATCTTATTCTAACTTAGATATGAAAAAAGGTAATCATTACAAGCTATAACATTTTTATGATCAATAACCATAAAATAATGAAAGCAAAAGCAGATATTATGTGTAAATTTAAAAGAGATATATATATACGTACCAGCACTATAATGATAATTATAAAATAATGTAAAAAACAAATCACATAAATTCAGAAAATAAAATGAATGGAATGCTGTTGACGTAGTCGTAGAGAATACCAAATTGTGCCATTCAAAAACTTCTTGTTAAGATTGAGGTAATTTCTGAAAATGTGATAAACTTGTATTAATATTTCATTTCCTTGAACTTTGAACTTTGCTCAAAACTGCCATTGCCGTAAGCCATAACATTTTTTTTTCTCGTGATGATACATAGTGAAGATCAATAACTTCACATATCACGTCCACGTTAATTAAAAAAGTTCGTCGATATTATGTTTGCTGCAACTTAAATAATAATAATGCCTATTGTATTACTACTCTTCCACATTTTCTTCGACTCCAATTTCTTTAATTTCCCACCTTGTCGAATGCTTATGCTTTTTGTGAATTAATCAATCGTTAATTTCGAAGGGGGAAATAGACACAAAAATCACCCAATCAATTTTTTCTTCCAGTGGCAAAAAATATTCGTACTAATCCACCTTCGCCTTTTTGGAGAGGTCACGAAAAAAAAGAGGAACTAGTAAAAAGAATAATGCCATTTGTTGAAGTTTTATACAAATAGTTCTGACAGAGCTCCTTTTTCTGTGAGTATCTTGAATTAGGATAATCGAGAACCATTTAGTCGACATGGTCGACGTCTTCTACTATATTTTGTTCGATGGTGATATTGACGAGAAATTTCGCATCTTTTTAATTTTTTATGATATTCACACATTTTTTCATATCCATTTTCCGGGCACCCAAATCGACAGCAAATTGACGCTTGATGTTGAAATGGGAACACATCCTTGTACGGTGAACGATAACGAAGAATTACTGAAAAAGAAAACATTCTAATTACTTATTTGCAAACTTACTGAACACGAAATGGACATCATTTTGTTATTATGTTATTGTTGTTCACGTTCCCTTTATTTAATTAATTGAATCAAGGTAAGGTCAATCTATAACGTACAGTATCTTTTAGACTCGTTTAAAAAGGTCGAGCAGGGACGGTTCTAAAATATGCTTAGTAACCAATCAACCATTAATGTTCATTTTCAATAATTGGATTTAATGTTAATAAATTATATCTTCTAATTAACGAAATAGTAATTAATGATAAGTTGAAAAGTAATTTTTTAACCACAATGACATCTATTAATTCTGATTTGATTTATTATGATATTAAATGTTTAACATTGTCCTAAATCAGCCGGGAAACAACCCAAAATTATCAAAAATGTCTGATAATTCAAACCGCAGTTTTATGTTAAAATTGCTCAGCAATCCTTAACTTATGAATTTTGAAAACGCAACAAATATAAAGCCAAATATTTTAACATACATAAGCATTTTCTATCCACACATATTCCATTTACTGACATACTAAAGTTTGTTCCCACTTTAATGAATCAATAACCCCAATGGGTATATTTTAGGGAACCAGTTTATAAACGAAACTTTAGTCAACCTCGTTTTTCAACGTTTTTTTTTACCTTTGCTTGGTACTGAATAGATTCTGATTTTTAAAACTTACAGTGAAAACTCCATAAAAAACAAAAATAATCTTACTGTGTATACGATGAAATGGAAATGGGAAATTGAAAGATGAATCTATGCAAAACCATCGAAGAAAATCACGTGCATCTGTTCCACATCTTTGAATCAATCCGTTTGAACGTATAGCTTCTTTCTCGGTCACTTGGTTTAGCAGAATCATTAAAACGAATAAAAACGCTCCAGATTTCCTCAGAAATTTTATATAGTTTTTCATTTTCAATATCTCACAATTTCTTTTAAAAGAATTAGTAAATTAATGCTGTTTAACAGATAACGTATACTTGTAATGAGAGTAATTCCTAAATACAATGACACGAAGGTCCAATGACTTACCGCTGTACCAGCAGCTTATGCTATTTACACTGAAGTCTGGTATCTGATTATTCAAAACTATTAAATCCAAATTTAAGTTTAAGTTCCACCACCGCAGCAACATTTGGTGAAATATTGCGTACGTGTATCGTGAGAGATTAAGTTGCAGTTTAGCATTCAGCTTAGCTGGTTAGAAATATGTTTTTTGTTAATGTTATAAAAGATTAATTGATTTGATTGAATATTTATAAAAAGTTTTTCTCCGATAAATATGTGTAACTAACCTTTGGAAAAATACATTTTATTGAAACTGTAGCTAAAACGATCAATAGTAAAATATTGCGATTTTCAATTATATTTCTTTATAGACGCAGTACAAACTCGTCCGAATATCCTATTTATAGTATAAACAGATTACTTGAAATGTAAATTCAAGAAGTCTTTGTCTTTTCTTTGTGTAAAATTATATCTACCAAAATCCGATTTTATTATTTTGAGAAAAACACACGTTTTCTGCTACCGCGTTACGAATCGATAAACAATCGTGAAGTTGCCGCATAACATTATTTTATATGAGGTTACGTAAGTGACGTGATGTCGATAATATTAGGTTGTTAGAATGCCTAACTCGATCGAGATGAAGCTTAAACTTAAATGAAGCAATCTATTATATCGGTTCATCCAAATTTAATGAACTTCCAAAGTAATTATAATGCGTTCAGTGAACACCTCAAGCTAAATTAAATACAGACTGTGATTTTGTTGATTCATTCTAGTCGATTTCTGGTCCGAAGATCAAATCTTAACCTAAAAGATGCATTATATATTGTTCTCAACCACCAGGTTGAAGTGCCTATTTACAAATCATTAAGATTAGGACAATTATACAAATAGTTTAATGGTGGAATGAACAGTTTTTATCATAATGGTGAAATATTTAAATCATTTAAACTTAGACCTCTACGGCACAAACAATACACATTCACTGACAAATGTGTTACCAGTCCAATTACCCGCTCTCGTTAACACTTCTTAAAACCACAGAATAATTATCTAATAACCATATAATCACACGACGATCTGCAGTTATTGGAAACTTATGAAGCTATACTCTATATACATGAATGAAAATGAAAACTGAATTTTTGTCGTTCCTCGGTCAAGTTAATAAATAGTCTTTATCGGAAGAGCTCTACTGTTGCGACTGACTAAATCGAGCTGTTGCTTGCCTTTTTTAAAGTAAATGTTCCATTTTTCGATTTCATAACAAGTCTTATCTCACCTTTCGGTATCTCCGTCTTCATTCGAAAACCGTTTTGGGAATTTTTATCTCGACATCTCTCACGTAAACTAACTTATTATAATCTCTCAGCATGCCTTTCGCCAAGCATGTCGATTGATAGAACGATACTCGAAGCACGATTCGTCCAAAGGCCATGTTGAAAAAATACTGAATGGATTTGCAAATCTAATTTCTGATTCTTACTGGCCTTCAATTATTGCTTTTAAAGGATTTTTGTACTTGTGCAACAAGATTATCTGCTTTCAGATAAGATATAACCATAGTTCGTTGCTTTCAAATTATAACTGCTTAGTGATACAATAGAAGTTTTAATTATACCTGAGGCACCAAATGAAGGGATTTATGTTATTATTAATAGTACAATAAGTCGAATCTTGACAAGCAAGAAATGTATGCAGGTTACATTTAAGAATATGTCGGGACATTGTATTGAGCGCTATAAATAGTAATGTCCTAATGGATGATTAATGTTGAATAGCAAATGTGGAGGTGCCTATTGACGCTTGGAAAAGAGTTAAACCGATTATAATTACAAGTCTATTTGTACAACATAATTGCGTATTATGGCGGTCATAATAGGCACGAGTAGGGTGTCGGCTAGCTATGTTTTTAAATATATACAGTACAGCATTTAAAATATATATGGTTTATACTGAGCAAAGAATTGAATAATCTCTGCAACAACACTTTTACCAATCTAGTTAAAAAAAAGAGTGCAGGGTATTATTAGTAGAAGTAGTGAATACACTTTAGTTAAATAATTTTTATTTTTGAAAGGAAATCAAATAACGCTTGCTTTTTTCTTTAATAATCATTTCTGGCTAAGTTGCGAAATTTCAAGAAATTGACTTATTTATGTTCAAAATTAAATGAAACCCATTATTTTTTTTCATTAAAACTAGCGTCCATTATAAATTTGATCTTGAATGATGAAACTAAGCATACTGGTGCCATGCACATTCTTGATTTTGTGCTAATTGTGGCACAAAAATTGGATTAGTTTTGCGGTTATCAATAATTTACTTGAACCGTTTTAAACTTTGCTGCCACATCCCCACCTCATTGATGTCATTTCCTTCAAACAAAAGCAAATAAAATGATATAAAGTAATAATTGATTTAAACCACTTTTCATACTTATTAGCGTTACATGCTTTTAATATTTATAGTAGTTATGAAAACGTTCATAAGATGCAAAAGGAGAGAGAAAGTGAACAGAGAAAGTTCAAAACATCGTTTTTCATTCTGGCCCAGGAAAGATACGCCATACTACACCTAGACATTTCATATTAGTCTTACAAATGCTCTGCGACCAATTCTTGGAAACACGTCGTAACGGTCTTGCTATTCGAAGAATTGCTGATATGATTTTTTTTTATCTTTAGCACAAATCTTGGTATCGGAGGTAATATTTATGGTAAATAGACGTGTTACTTGTTGTTAATATTATAGATACAATTCGAATTTTTATCCAATTTTGAGCATTTAATACGCGGTGGTAGATGTGACATGGAGATTAAATAATCAAATAAAATGGACACCTTGTTTTTACCTGAAAATAATACAGGTTGTCAGTGAACTGCTTATATAATTAGGGTTCCAAATTGATTGAGCGGTCACGATGGCATGATTGTATTTATTAATGATCTTTAGCTCAATTGGCGCTACATAGATCCAACTTCGTAAGAATAACTAGCACAAATTAAAAAAAAACGTAATTGATCATAATGCTGTCTGTTGCGTTCAACAACCACAATGTGATAACATCGGTTTGGCTAAAGTCAGTTACTAACCACTTAAAAACAAGACAGAAAATATGTGAAAAAACAGGCTAAAAACCTATTAAATCGTGCAGTAAATCGGAAGGTGTGGTTTATTGATATTTAAAACAGTTTTGATATATCTATCCGATAATGTTTAGGATACATGTTATTAGTCATGCAAATTCACCATGTTCTGTACTATTAAAAGTTCATGCATGCCAAAATCAGACTTGACTCAAATGCGAAGAGTGAAGTTGAAGAAGGAGACAAATTTTTTTTTTTGTTTAATTTTTATAGATTGTTTGATTACATCGTATAGATCAGAGGTGGCCAACACGTCGATCGCCACGTCTCAAGTAGTCAATCGCGTCTGATATTGAGTGAATTTTAACAATAATAGCTCAAAAAAAAGCTCAAAAAATTGCTTTAAATCAGTTCCATGCAGCGCATGTTGTGTGTTTTTAAACAAGGCAAATATTTTTCTGTTTATGCGCAAAATACGATATACACGTATACTAGGGGTCGGCAACCTACGGCCCGCGGGCCGGATCCGGTAATTGTATTTGCAACGGTAACAGTGGCATCAGAAGGCCCATTTTATTTTTCTAATTCCAAGCGAGTGAAGAATTGGACTTGGCGGAAATCACATAACATTCATGGTTTGGGTGAAATTTATTTTTCGCTGCTCAGTTAATTCATGGATACTTGGCAATGTTTTTCGAGGATTTTTCAACACTTACGACTAAAATTTTGGCAGGTGTTTGATCTGAATTGTATGATTTGAATGAATCTTGAATAAATGATGAAACATTCATTCCGGGTACAAATACATAATCAATTTAACAAATTCAATGGAACATAAAAAATGCAAATTTTTGTGGCGATTTCATTAAAAATGCACCCAAAGAACCGATCTTATTGACGACGCGGAATTTTTATGTATGCGTATGTGCTGTTATCTGCATAATATTCTGTACTCAATCATTCGTTTTTGTATATGACCTTATTACAGATCAGTCGATCGCGAGCTATTTTGACGAGTTTAGTGGATCACGGTGGAAAGCAGGCTGGCCACCCCTGGTATATATCATTCATGGTATGGCTTATTTTCCTATTGAGACTTTCTATAGGCACACAAATAAATATATATCATGGCTTAGTGTAATCCCATTTTTAGTCGCAGACCTTGGGAAGATCACTGACCGACGCAGGAGCAAAAAAGTATTAGAGGACCACGACACAAATACTAAAATAGTAGCATGGCCACCATGGTAAAAATTAAAACCGTAATCTTAGGTTGCACACAGATACCACAAATTCAATGGCTCATGCAAGTAAAATGTTACCATTGTAAATCCGATATTTTACGCTTTTCATATTTTATAACTTATTGACATTTTTGGGGTATAAAACATATATATATACTTTATATATATATACTTATATATATACTTATATATACAATATACTTTTAGTTGCCAATGACCTTCATCAAGACATATTTGTTATTATGAAACATGGACTGTTTTTAACATTTCACGCATATCAAAATAACATGTTATGACGTCATTGCGGTAACGTGACGAATTGCGCCATTCTATCAAACTTTTGATGGTTATCTACAAAAAAATATTTCACATAATATTAATGAATAACGTTTCGTATGCTTTTCACAATGAAATTAATATATTGATATTATATTAAATTTGAAATTACGCAATTCTGGTTTGGACTCCAAATTCTGATACTAGATTTTGCAGCTATATAAGAAAAACTATTTTTTGTGAAGTGTATTAAAACTTCCCCAAAAACTAGTTCGTTTCTAATGCGATTTCACTGAGGCTTTTTCTTGATTTTCATGTTGATTTATGTAAATTTAAAAATCCATATTTTGAAGATTTCAACCCTCATTATTAAAACAATTCACTGTTACCAAAATCTAATATTCATCGCAACAACTGGTACGTAACATTATTTATTTATTTCAGTTTATTTCCACTCTTTCATGATAAACTTGTAGATGAGTCAGTACATGTTTGTGCTGGAAATTGGTAGCAAGTATATACATGAGAATTATTTGACCCGTAAAATATCACATCAAATTATTGGTTCAATGACTCAGTTCGCACGCATGACATTTTCAGCTACCGTGACTTTTAAACAATACATCTAACAGCTTGGTAATTATTCGATGATAATATAAATAGATCTACACTATACCAAATCATCAACTTTTAGTTTTCTATATTTTTGAAATTGAAAATTGTAATGAACTCATTTCAGAAGCGATATATTTATGCTGAGTCGACTCATAACTAGATTGAATATTTTCGGCATTTTCACCAAGAAAGTTGGGAAATATGCGATACTAGCAAACATACTTGTCACGTACAAATTTTATTCGTTAGTGTAATTAGGGCAAAAGCTCTAAATGTTGCAGATTATGTTACTTATATTTGATTCTTCTACCTGGGGTAAAATTTCATATTAGTTCAAAACATATTAACGTTAGCCCTAATTTTTCTTTTAGGTGGCTGTCGAGGTGTTCTAAAATCTTCTTGTGTGTTATAGTGTATCTGAAACGTTAGAGAACTTTTGTTGCAGTCCTAATCATCTATGTGAATGTAACAATAATATAAAATTGAAAATGTAATTGTATTAAATTTGAGTTTGTGTTGTTTATAGAAATGAGGTTACAATAACATATGGATAACATATAGATATTATATTATAGAAATTATATATAAACAATGGATATGTGAGCTATGAGTTGACTCACACATAAATGTCCGCCATTTTGAAAACAATTTTTTAATTGATTCTTTTGCTATGCACCACTTATGCCACTTATGTCAGTAGACGGAACCGCAGTCTTGTTATTTTTACATCCAAATTACTGAAATCGGTGCCATTTTGTGCCGAGCTATGCCTGAAAATTGAGTTATTATCTACGATCTGGAGACGTTTCGTATTTATCGGTACTTTCGATATTATTCCCCAATTAAAAGAATCTTACATAACTTGACCCGAAAATTTATTAGAAATTATATAAGATTCATTTTATATTATACCTTTCAATAGAGCATTTCGACTACTTTAGTGTAAACAAACTTAGTAATTACAGTTTACTATTGTTAATATGATCTTTAAAATTAATTTATTTCACAGCTTTAAGTCTTTTTTAATCTTTAATCGAATAAAGCATCTAGGTCGAGACCTGCTCGACATCTTGACATAACTTTGCGATTATTTTAAAAAAACAGGAAATGTGAAAATTTTAATTTCATATCTATGAATGCTTTTTTTGGTCTTTTAATCTTGTTTAAATAGAAACTTCATGTCAATATGTCATTGAAATATTATAATTCTCTTTAGCCTT